TTTCTCATATTTTCCTAACTTTATTGTGTAAAGCTTTACATTTATATCACAAGGATTACATGGTATATTAACATAAGATTACAATAGCTTGCGATAATGAAAGAACTTAACATTTCAATTTTATCACAATAAAAATGTACAAGAAATAAAAAAAAAATTGTTCCTTTAAAACAAAGAACCTTTCAGAACTGTAAAGTCTATACAGCAAGTTATTATTAATACAGAATTATAAAAGGTTACACTTCTGCTCTGTCGACTAGGAAGGAGGCAGCCTTAGGCCGTCTTACAGCTCGGTGTTTCATGGAGCCTAAGTGATTACACATTTTATGCTGCAGTTTGGAATCCACTTGGCCATGCTTGGGCCACACTCTTGGGTCGGGGTGGATGGGGCCACACGCCCTCTTTCTTTTTACAGGACCAATTGGGGAACGTCGAACCTTACATATGTTTAAACTATCTCGCATTTAAGTAAAATGTAGGTTGAACGTTTGTTGTTACGTTAACTGTTGGTGTGTGACTGCGGCCCATTGCACTGTGGGCGTGGGTTGGCGGCGCATACAACGAAACGGGAAGAGTTAACACTAGCAGCACGGGGCCAACGGAGGTTTGATTACTCTCAGGTTTACTTATAAACTTCTGGACTACATCAACCTGGTCTGGTTTACGAGATCCACAGAGACGACCGAGAAGGGAAAATCATAAATATTCTTAAGTGACTAACAAAATAACAATAATATAACGAATGAGAAATGAGAAATATTCTGATTAAAAAAGCTGATATTCTTATGAGCACGAAGTCACGCTTCGACCCAAGCTGACAACCGTCATCCTGTTATGGCTTCAACAAAACACAACGGACAGCTTGGTTTTACGAAGTCAGTGTTCCTCTGTACGTATTCTCTCTTAAATATTCATCTTGTTTTCAAACTCGAAAGTCGTCTGGGCATTTCTGAGACGAGGCTTCCCAGCGGAATGGTTCCCAACACCTCCATCCGCGCCGGAGCTCGAACCGCACCGTTAACTTGGCACTCAGGGATGGAAGTCCTTTTCTTGGTTTCTCGGTCCCTAGATTCCCACTGCTGATGGCTGTCTGATGCCTCCAAACTGCACACGCCAGCACGTCGCCAACCGCCAGTAGCGAGAGGGCGAGAAGTACTATGAGATAGCACCAGAGGTGGACTGCAAACGGACCAACTGCCGCCGCTGCCACCATCAGAGAAAGCAGCAGTTCCGACTGCTGGACAGACAGCAGACCGCTGCAGGAGGACGCGAGATAATGCTCGGTCATAGCCACAGACAGCGCCACAGTAGATCACTGCCAAAGGGCGCCGTCACAGCTGGAAGGGAGACACGGTCACTGCTTGTGAGACGTCTTCCTCGCAGATCACTGGTGAGCGACGGCCTTCTTCTTCCGTCTGCGGCCGATGTGCAGCACCACCTTGCCCTGCTTGATCTCCTTGAAGGCCAGGATGGCTTCCTTGTGGGAGCTGCCGTGCAGGGGCTTGCCGTTGATTGCCAGGATTTCGTCACCTGAGGGAGAGAAACGTGTTAATAACAAACACGGAAGATGGAATAAAAATATCCACAACATGTATCTGTTGCATAATTCTCATAGACTCCATGTATATTCCAGAGTGCAGGTCCCGCCTGTCGACGAGCGCGAAGACTCACCTTCCTGCAGAGCGCCCGAGGAGGCGGCCTGTCCTTGGGGGAACACCGTTTTGACGAAGATGCCCATGGAGCCGCGTGGGGAGTCCGTGCCCCCGACGATGCTGAAGCCGAGCGAGCGGTGCCCCGGGCCCTTCTCGAACACCACCGTCCGGATCTGGAAGGTGACTTCCCTCTTCTGGCGGGGCAACGTGCAGAAGCTGGGCTGGCCGTCCGTCTGGAGGAGAAAACTCTTGGTTAATACAAGGACCTCACACAAGCGCGCACGTAACAGCACCTGCCACCTGTGCCGCGCACAACCATTACAATCAATTACAACCAAACACGCCAGGTACACACTAACTTAACAGGGCACTGCACCAGAGATGACATGGGCGTGAACCGAGCAGTGCAACACAGCCGTGATCCCCAGGAGCGCTCAACCCGCGCCATTCCGGAAGGCGCGGCGCGGAGCAGCATCGCTGCCGCACCACGTCCCGACCGCCCCGCCCTTCAAGCGAGATAGTATAATAACGAGACCGGATAATAGCGATTCTCGCGCGAGCCGTTCACACTAACGGGGTCGCCGCGTGTCTCGAGTCGTAGCGAGATCAACAACTTCCCGTGACCTCCGCCGCGTCGGGAGTCAACATCCAGGATCACCATGACCAGATGCGATGCTCATCGGCCGGCCCTCCTCCGCCTTAAACGCCTCCCTCTTAAGCACGATATTCCTTTGTCTCGGCGATTATGGCCGAGAGCGGATGTCGTAATAGCTTACCCCCCCCTTCCTCCCGTGCTCTCGTGCCCCCAGGTTCCCCTACCTTTTATTATGGCGACCAACCTAACTTGATGCAGGAGTGCTACACCGGTTTCTCTTTACATTCTCTGCCGCCCCCCCCCCGCCCCGTCACCACAAACAATAGCGAAGGTGGCAGTAAGTACAGGAAAGGAGACAATTCCCGGACACAACATTTTTCCCAATTAACGTCCCTTCTGCTTTGTGCGAGGCCACCGCCGCCGCCGTCTCGACTGGCGCAGTGAAACTGCCGTCCGCTCCAGTTTCTCTCCACTGAGTGTAATCTCACCAAATTGCCGCCATTGCCATTGTTGAAAACACATAATGGTCTCGAGCGGAAGAGCAGCTTACGACTCTCAACGAAGGCGCCTTAATATGCAAGGAATCCAGAAATGGCAGCGCGGAGGCGAGCGCGACCTGCGACACGCATCCCACGGGCGCCCGGGAAGGGGACTGCTCTTGCTGCGCTCCTTTCGCATCGCCAAAAGCGGCCACAAGCAAAGCGAGGGAGCAGCTCGTGTGTCACACAGAGACGTCACATAGACGGGGACGCCCCAGCGAACCTGGAGGCGCCGCCCCTCGTGCCCTCTGACCTGCGTGCGGAGGGCACCGCGGTGGGCGGGGGTCACGTCCGACCCGCGCCCAGTAATGGGGGATTTCCTTTAAGGGAGTTTTTCTTCTTTCAAAATCATCTCAACCAATAACATTAAGGTCAATGTCAAACCAACATTTCCACCGAGCAAATTCCATTTACAACCATTAATCGCCAGTTTTATTTGCAAAGAAAACGCGGTCTGCTTCTCGACAGGGAATGACTCAAGCTTTCGCCGTGCGCTGTCAGGTGCTTGCTCAGGCGACGCTGCTTCCAGAAAAGACTAATATCTAACATCGGCGGCGCATCTCTATACAGGAGAGAATATCATCGAAAATGCGCAACGGAAACAATAAGGAAAGGAAACGACGATAAAACAATACAAGAGAATAGTGACAGAACTTATTCCAGAAGGGAAAGAAGAGACTTGGTTTAACGAGCCTCTCCCCAGGACGACGCTCCGTCCCCTTACCCCCACCTTGGCCCCCAGTACCGCCGTCCACCCATGTCCAAAGGGCTTGACCGGCGCCCCCGACAGGCCTGCCGCGGTGACTCCGTGTCTTCCTCGTGCTGGGCGGGAGAGGCACTCGCTCGGGCGTGTCTGGCAGCCGCGGCGGGAGTGCGTGCGGGGGGAGAGAACCAACTTCCTGGCCTCAACCTCGACCTCTGCGGCGGAGGTCGCGGGGGTCGCTTCCGTCCAATCAAATCAACAAGCAAAAGAGGTGGAGAGAAAATTACACCGCAACGCCCGCTTTTTGTGGCCGCCCATTACACCGCACTAAGATCCATCCCGCTCTCGGTGCGCGCGGATGACTTCATACACGCGATTCATAATTCATCAGCGGCCGGAGTTTTACAATCGCTCTTCTGTAATGGGATGTAAAGAGTTTCCGTGGCGAGAGACATGCGCAGGGCGGTGGCTCTGAGCGCGTCAGGACACTTATTGCCGTGATCTCTTTATAACTGACAAAGTTCTCTTCCCCCACATAAAAAAGTGCATGTGAAGCCACACGCTGACGTGACCTGCCACAGTAAAATATTCCAGTTCAATTCCAGCCTCATGACCCGCGCCAGGGAAAAAGGGTGTTGTTCCAGTGACCTGATTACGTGGCGGCATTTTTCCCGCATAATGAACCCCGGAGAAGTCTCGTGACCTGTAGCAGCTGATAAGCGGCGGGTCCGCGGGCTTTTGACGAGCAACGTAAATCCCGCCTCTTACTGAAATTAGGTTCCGTCACATCCTTATCCCTCCTCTCGCTCGTCTTTTGCCTATCCTTTCCTTCTTTTTTTCCCCTCTCCATTTCTTTCCTCATTACTTTCTTACGTCCCTTCCTTCCTTCTTTTTCTTTCCTTCCTTCTTCCCTCCCCCCATCCTCTTTCCTTCCTTCCTCCCCCCCCTTCACTCCTTCCTTCCTCTCTCCCTCCCTCCCCTTCCTTTCTTCCTCTCCCACTTCGTAGAATGGTTCCCAATTACGCAATGACACAAAGTGACACTATTAACGAAAGTTCCCGAAGGTGAGCGTAATGCCTCCGGAAACATTGTGTCACCGGATGTCACATAATAAACAGGTAGGCCTACATTTCCCTTCTCGGCCTTTCGGGGGCAAGTGCCGACATTGGGGGGGGGTCGTCTTCTTTTCACCCCCCCCCCCCACTCCACATTTCCCTTCCTACAATATCATCCTCTTTCTATTCCCATTCTTTTATTTCCATCTCTCCTTCCCTCTCTTCCCGTCTCTTTTTCCCCTTCACATCCCCTACCGTCTTCCCTTCATTCATTTCCATCCCTCCCTCCTTTTCTCTCTTTTTTCTTTACCGTCTCTCTCACCCCCTTTTCCCTTCTCTCACTTCATTCCCCCCCCCCCTCGCTTCACCACAGTCCCCGAGGCCCAGAATCGTGCCCTCGGCGCTCGCGTTCGCTTCCTCACTTCGAGCCGAGGAAAGGTTTGTGAAACGTTTGTGAACTTACACTGGGCGCCCCTCGCTCGCAGACACTTCCGGTGAAAACAAACGCGTACGAGAATGTGTGTCACGGCGTTCGTTTGTTTCATTCGTGCGTTATATTCTTAAGAAGCACCTGTGACGCCTGATGCGGTCGCCATCGCCAACATACCTGTTACCGCAACACGTCATTCTCAATGCAATCAATGTACTTCCCAAGCCCCCCCTTTCGAAGAGTTACACCCAACCACACAAAACAACGACAACCACTTTTCCTGGCGCCATCCCCGGGGAAATTTATCAACGAACCAAAATACTCACATTGTAAGGTATCGCTGAGGGCGGGGCGACCGTCAAGCCGTTTTCCCATTGCGCCAGACTCGCCGCGGGCACCGAGGAGGAAGAGCAGAAACAAGGAGAGGAAGAGCAGAAGCAAGGAGAGGAACAGGAGGAGGAGAAAGGAGAGGAACAAGAGAAAGGCAAGGAGTGCGAGGAGGAGAAAGAGCAGGGAGAGGAGAAAAGAGAGGGAGAGGAAGAGGGATTGCTCCAGGGCCTAGGCTCGCGGAGGCCACACACGGTGAGCTCCTCCTCCTCGGGAACGGCGGGCAGCCTCTGGGGCATCAGCATGGCGGGGCACAACATTGATGATGACTCGAGAATCGAAGCGATCGAGCAGATTGCTATAGACACCAGGGCGGCTGGAGGATAATAGACTGCGCGGGAAGGATTATTTCTGCTTTTATACCTTGGCCAGGATACGGCCTCGGTGCCATATCCTGTGACGTCAAGCTTTCCGCCGGATTCTTGTCCTGCCTCAGTTATGACGCAAAGAGGGAGACTACTTGCGAATGTTTGGTACCGTTCAAGGCTGGCACTCCCAATCGCGGAAGTGCCATTCGATTTGCCATCAATTATGTTGGTATATTGAATTGAACACATCCTAAATGTTCAGTGTATGCCTGATCCACATGCAAAGATTGTTGGCGACTTCTAAGGGTATTATAACGATACATGGCAAGTCCCTTAATCATACAGACAGTTCTTGATCTCGTAGAATGATAAATACCCTGATCACAGGTCTGTTGTTGTTCATTGGTATATGTCCTGAGCATATACCCAACATGTATTTTTTGTGAAACAACGACAAACTTCCCCACCTTATGAATAATAATTTTTAGAAGAACAGCAGATCCCCTTATCGTGTAAACAACGTTTGTATAAACAGCGGTAACTCCCCTGATCACACAAACAAAACATTCCCCTTTCCCTATATTGCATTTTCCCTCAATTATACCATCCCCTCCCCTTTCTTATCTTGTTCCCAAGCTCTCCAGGATGTTTAGCTGTGACGTTCTAGTCCAGCCCGCGAGCACCAAAATAACTACCACGCATCCGACTCGCGCTCGTCACTCGCTTCCGTAGCGATTTTTTTTTTGTTTTTTGTTTTGTTTGGCTGTGGCATTGTGTTTTCCCTCCTGCAAGTTAACAGCATGCATTAACTCTTCCTCATGAACGGCAAAGACCACGACGTGCAACTTACTTTGTCTGCGTCCTCGTCCTCGTGGCTGGAGGTAGACTTGTTGTGGTCGCTGGTGGGCGTGAGGGGCGCTTTGGGCGGGCTGTCCGTCGAGGTGTCCAGCGAGCACTTGAGTCGCTGGAGCTTGAGCCTGTCCTCGGCGTCGGAGGGGGACGTGGCGATGCTCCGCAGGCCGGCCCGTCCGAGCGTCAGGGAGGTCGGGGTGGGCGGGGAGCGGCGTCCCTGGTGCTTGTGGCGGTCCAGGGTTGTGGTGCGGTGGGCGGGGGAGTGGGCGGGGGAATGGTTGGGCGTGTGGGCGGGCGTGTGGGCGGGCGTGTGGGCGGGGGGTCGCAGGTCCAACGGGGGCGGCTCTTCCCAGATGCATGAGTCCACACACGAGGAGATCCTCGCCCGCCCCCCCACCCTGGTGGCCACGCCGCCCCCCCGCTGCGCCTGCGACTGAGGCTGCGGCTGCTGCGGCTTCTGCGGCGGCGTCGGCTTCTGGTAGCGGCGGGCGGCGGTCGCGGGCGGGGACGTCGGGTGCAGGTCGCGCGTGTCCATCTTTATGACGTGGTCGGCGACGATCCTGGGCTGGTGAAGACCCGGTTGAGCTGGCTCCCGGCGGGGCTGCGCGGGGCTGTGGGGCTGCGTCTGCGAGGCGTAGGGCGAGGACAGCGGCGTCGAGCAGCTGTGAGAGAACTCCCCCGAGGGCGAAGGGTCCCTGGGCGGGGGAGGGGGCACCACGTCCCCAGGGTGGGGCGCGGGCACGGCGTCGTCGTGTCTGTCGCTGGCGGGGAAGGTGTCGCTGCAGGTCTCGCTGAAGGCCTCGTCATGGCAGGAGGAGCCGCCCGCGCTGGACGCCGACGACGACGAGGAGGGCGGCGAGAAGGCATCGTCGTTGTCGCTCACCGTCACGCCCGAGTCCTGCTCGTCGTCGCGCTCGCCGCACCTCCGCGCCCACTCCAGCACCGCCCGCGAGTCCACCCACTGGCGGTTGGGCGCCGCCCACTCGTCGTCCGCATCGCAGAGCGACATGGCGCGGGTCTGCCGTGACCGCCCTCGGCCGAGGCGAGACCTGATGGCGTGCAGCGGGCCGTTGCTGCTGCTGGTGCTGCTGCTGGAGGTGTTGTGGGTATGGTCACGGTGCCGCATCATGTGCACGCGGTCGCCGCCGCCCACGAGGCCCTCGTGATCGGGCGTGGGCGTGACCACGTGGCGGGCGGGCGAGCCGATGTTGCGCCATCGAGACACTAGCGACGACCACTGGCTCTCCACGCGGCGGCGGAATCTCGGCGACCCTGCGGGAGAGAACACGTTAGGGCTGTGTGACCTAAGATATTGCTGTTGTTTATGTATATGACCTAAGCTATAGTTGTTTATATGACCTAAACAATCTCAGTTGTTCATTTCAGGTGACCTAACATAAGCTATTGTATTTTTTTTTTTTTTTTTTTTTACTGCAATCATTTGTTCATGTGACCACAGGCACTGCTGTTGCTTGTTTTACACACACACACACACACACACACACACACACACACACACACACACTGTTGTTCTTTGTTTAATATCAGTTTCTTAATCTAAATTACAAATCAAGCCTAAAGCAGACAGACAGCAGAGAACACCGCCACAGACGAGCAACTGCGGCCCTTGGGCACTGACCCGCCCCCGAGGCTGTTGGGCATTGCAAGGGGAGTGTCACCAGCGATTCCCCTCTTGAGCAGGGCGCGCGGGTGCGTGGGGCGCCGGAAGGGTTCGGCCCGAGATCTCTTAATAGCCTTTGTTGATAAGATCATGGGTGGCGGGAAGTCAAGCTCGTCTTTAAATCAATTTAAGCGCCAGAACGTCTGCACTTATCTTATGTTTAAGCTGGGTATATTAGAGAGTTTTGCTACGCCCCCACAATGGGCGCGTAGTTGATTTGGCCGCCCTAACATATAATGACGAAGGAGTGGTGGAAGCGGGGTGGTAATGGGGGGGGGGGGGCTAATGGAGAAGAGGCTTCCGTCTGTTCGAGTTTTTTAGGGCAATGAGGTGAGGTCTTCCTGGGCCTTGTGGTCGTACCTGCCTGGCGATAGTTGTGCCATACCACTGTTGGCCTTAATAAGCTATTGTTGTCACTGATATATTCAGGCCGTGTGCTAAGGCTGATTCAGTATTCTGGCTATCGCAACGCGGTCGCAAAAGTGGCGGTGACTCACGTGTGTTCCTAGTCGGGGGTCGCCCCTACCCCTCTCCTACCCCTCTCCTCCTCCTCTCCCCCGGGGGAAGGAAGCGTCACTCCCTCGCTCACTATTTCCTGAAGCTAAAGAGGGGGGAGGGGAGGGGGGGGAGAGACTTCGGCGTTTGTGTTGAGTCGCTTCCATTCTGCTCAACTCTGTCCGTCTCTCTCAGTCTCAGTCTTTTTTTCTCTACCCTCAACGAAAATCCGGCCTTTTCCGGTGCCCCTCCAATCTCTTCCCCTCCATACCCACAAGAACTAATTGGCAAAATTCCTCCATAATCCCCAACTTAGCAACACGACTCCCTCCCCCCCCCCCTCCCCCCTCCCCCTCTCCGTCTCCAAAGTGGGACTCCAGCTTTGTGCTCTTCCTTTCCTTCACAAGTTCCGCCCGCTCGTTAGTATCCTGTTGCCTCCCTCCTTCCTTTATCACGCTCTTCTTCCCACGTCTCTTATCGCCGCGTTTCACAGCTTCCTGTTCGTCCAGCTACATCACTTTATAGCGTTTCATCCTTGTTTACAAACAAACTTGACTGACAGACCACGTATGTTCCGTGGGCGGGCGAGTTAAGCCAGCAATGCGTGTATGGGCGGGATAATGAAGTTCCTGGGAAATGCGTCCGCACGCCCGCAGACGAGGATCAAGTTTTCGGTTCGCTACCCGCACTTCACTCCCCCCCCCCTCCCCCCGCCCCGCATCTAGCCGGGCTCGCAGACAAGCCAGATACTGCACGATAATCTCCATCGCATTAGCTACTGTTGCATCTCCTGTTGCAAGAGGCGATGCGAGTGGAGAGGTAGAGGTACATCGGTGCCCGGAGGCGAACGCGCAACAGCGGCGAGAAAGCGCAGAGCGCAAGGAAAGGAGGAGAAAACGGGGGAAATTCCTGAAGACCGAAGAAACGGAAGAATGGAAGGAAAAGGTAAGACGGGCTCTGGCGCGGAAGGCGCGGCGGGAGAGAGGAGAGCAGAGACAAAAGAACGAAACAGAGATACAGGAATTCCGAGAGACAAATGGCGGGCGCGGAGGAGGAGGAGGAGGAGGAGGAGGATCTGGCGACGGTGTCAGTCCGAGCGGAAAACGCTGTCGTTCGCCTCAAGGAATAGATCCCTCGCGCGCACGTGCAGAGTCGCATAATGTCCTGTAAATGAGAAGATTATCCCAGCACACCCTCGAACGCCCGTGGCGCCCGCTCACCTCTCCCCCGCACCTGCATCTTCCAACCCCGTCGTGTCCCACCCACACGCCCACACGCCAAGACGGGACACACGCCCAAGCCACCCACGCTCGGCCGCCCATGTGTGGTCGACTAAAACGCCCATCGCAAAGTCACATCTGCCACTGCCGCCCCCGCCCCTACCCCCCTCTCCTCGTGCACGCCTGAAGGTGGAGGCAATCCGCGGTCCCGACTTTCGTCTGTTCAAGCAACGCCTTTCAACAATGCTTGGAACAATGGCGGGATTCCCTATAATTATGCCACGTGAGTCCTTTCTTATAATGAACAGCTGTCATACTTATCCTGCCCTGGACGAAGCCTTCATTTCAGACATCGGTGAAGAGAAAAAGAGAGAAAGTGAGAAAAAAAAGAAACACTCCGCAGAAATGGTTCTTTCAGGATAAAGCTCCGCCCTTCACAAGTCGACTCTCACCCTCACCCTCTCACCCCCCCCCCCCCCGAGTTAAACACACTTACCTTAACCCCCCGTCCTCCTCCTCCTCCTCCTCCTCCTCCTCCTCCCTCCTCCTCCTCCTCCTTCTCCTCTCCCCCTTCTTCCTTTTCCTTCTTCTTCTCCCTCTTCTTCTTTCTCTTTCTCCTTCTCCTCCCCTTCCTCCTCCTCCTCCTACCCCGCCCCCCACTTCCCGCAACCTCACCCGGATCTCACACAGGCAGCCCGAGAAGGAACAGAGGGAGCAAGGGTGAAGTCGTGGAACGCAAGGAGGGGAGGAGGGAGGGGAGGGGAGGAAAGAGGAGGGAGGGGAGGGGGGAGCAGGAAGGAGAAGAGAACACAGGGAGCGGAGGGGTGACGGAAGGGGAACGGAAGGGGGGGGGAGAGGTGAGGGGAGGGAAGGGGGAAGGGAATACAAGGAGAGGGGAGAGGGGAGGGGAGGGAAAGGGGAAGGGAATACAAGGAGGGGGGGGGAGCGAGGGAAGGGGGGGAGGGAATACAAGGAGGGGGGAGAGGGGGGCGAGGGGAACACACCCCAGATCATGAGAGGTCACCAACACTATCCGACGTGAGGGCTGGGAGAGCAAAGCCTGCTTGCGTGGGAGGTAAGGTGAGTGAGGAAGGAGAAAGGAAGGGAGGCGAAGAAGAAAGAGAAAGGGAAGAGAGGCGAAGTGGAAAGAAAAAGGGAAGAAGGACGAAGTGGAAAGAGAAGGAGAAGGGAGGCAAAGAGGAAAGAGAAAGAGAAGGGAAGAGAGGCAAAGAGGAAAGAAAAAGGTGACGACGCCGAAGAAAAAAGAAAAAAAAGGAGGAAGAACATTTAAGAGAGAGAGAGAGAGAGAGAGAGAGAGAGAGAGAGAGAGAGAGAGAGAGAGAGAGAGAGAAAGACTTAACCCCAACTCATACCCCTTTTTAAGGATAACACATTACACTTCCCTCTCTCCTCTTCTCGGCACTTCTCTGTCTCTCTCCCTCTCTCTCTCTCTATCTCCTCCTTCTCCTTCTTCTCCTCCCTCATTCTTCCGCCCTCAACTCCCCTTTCACCCTCGCCTCCCCACCCCGCGCTGACAATGGTCAATTGCGAAAAGTGGAAATGCCGACAACTTACGTAACCGACTATTTAGGACGACAAATTTGCGGTAAATGTTGGGCGGTCGAGACTGGCGAGGGAGAGGAAAGTCAAAAGGACAGGAAAGTCTTACAGGAACACACAAAAACTTTCACAAAGCACGGAGTCAAAACAGTTTATTTATTCATTCCCAGAACAGACACACACACACCTACAAATCGCAAATGTTTTTTTTTTTTCTCATGTGCATATGTAGCCATGAGGCGAGGGCAACATGCCTGCTATCAGGACGTCAGTGGCAGCAGCATCACCCATAAATTCCAAACCAGCGTCACAGACAGACAGGCCTCAGTAGCCGGTGACTGAAGGAAGGGCGCGTTTTGAAGGAGACAAGGAGGGAGACAGAGGGATAAGGTACAATGCGTATATACACATATATGCTAATATAATACGAGAGAGAGAGAGAGAGAGAGGGGAAGAGAGAGAGAGAGAGAGAGAGAGAGAGAGAGAGAGAGAGAGAGAGAGAGAGAGAGAGAGAGTGAAATGCATATATTAATCTATATATTCATATGTATACAAAGGTGAGTGCATGTATAAACGGATATACACTACGTATGGATATGTATTCATGGATATATGTAGAATGGTGCGCCACGTGTGTGTGTGTGTGTGTGTGTGTGTGTGTGTGTGTGTGTGTGTGTGTGTGTGTGTGTGTGTGTGTGTGAGAGAGAGAGAGAGAGGAAGAGAGAGAGAGAGAGGAAGAGAGAGAGAGAGAGGAAGAGAGAGAGAGAGAGAGAGAGAGAGAGAGAGAGAGAGAGAGAGAGAGAGAGAGAGAGAGAGAGAGAGAGAGAGAGAGCGAGAGAGAGATAGAGAGATTGAGAGTGACTCAAGTCCTCCTGCACCGAGAACAAACAAATGCAAACAAGAGAGGGCAGAACCCCGTCGTGTTTCCGGCAGTGCCATCAACTTCCACTCCAGTCCACTCGATCCCCACTTCTGCGCCTCATCCACGCTCCACCGTCATCCCTTCAGCCTGAGCCGAGGTTTCGTCTCTTCCTTTTTTTGCACATTTATGAACTGGCGTGTGCCCGTACATACACAGATAAATACATAAATACATAAATACACGCAAACATGCTGTATGTATATCACACACACACACACACACACGTTTGGGGATCTGCAGTCTACTATACTATCTCCCTCTCCCCCTCTCCCCTTTCTTTCTCACACACGCAGATGTTCCACAATAAAATGCCAACATTATCGACCGAGAAGGGGGGGAGGGGAGGGGGGGAGTAAGAGGGAATGGGGAAGGATAAGGGACCGCGCTCCAAAAATGGTCAATTTTAGGGGTGTGACTCATGAGGCGAAGCGGAGAGGGGAGGGGAGGAAGAGAGGGAGAGGGGAGGGGAGGAAGAGAGGGAGAGAGGCAAGGGTGATGGGTCAGGGGGGAGGGGAAGGAAGGGGAAGGGAGAGAGGGCTGAAGAGACAGGGAGGGGTAAGGGAGAGAGAGAAGGAAGGGTGAAGGGGTACAGGGAGGAGAGGGAGAGAGGCCCCACGCCACTGTAGGGAGACTGGGGGGGGGGGCCTCCCAAGCCACTGTACGCAAACGACCTCGCCATCTCTGTTCTGTATCAGTGAACCAGTGCGTTTCACGAGGCGCTCACGTTGTGGAGTAAAAACATGCTAAGGGCGTCCTAGACTAGTACGTCGGTACAGTTACCAATACTAGTACGTGAAGTCGAACAACACTTTAAACACAGCTATTAAATACCGGTGCAATACACAGAGCATCACGCAGGCCACTAAAAGGAAATCGAACTAGTACAAATGATTACACCCGATGAATAGGACCGCCTCTTAAATGGCCAACCAGCAATCCCCAGATGAGGTCAACACCAGAGCTAATTGCAAGAGTGGTTCCGCCCCAGCGCGTCCACCTTCTTCGCAACCGCAAGGCCCGAGAGTGAAAGTAATTCTGTAATAATCCGTTTGAGATAACCCACGAGGGGGTGGGAGGGGGCGCAAGGCCGCGGGGAGCCCACCGTGATGCTGTGCAGACTGCATGACCGCCTCCGCCAGGGGTCACGCTCCGCAGCCCTGACATTCAGCGGCCGACCTTCGCCGAGGCAGCATTGTTCGCGACAGAGGCCCGGGGGGCACAGGGCGCGTCTTGCCCGACTGCCCAGTTCCCGCGCCACGTGTCTGGGACATGTTCCGAGAAAGTTTAGGCTCTTGACTCCATGCAAACCGTGAGCCAGTGAGCCGTTCAGACGAGCAAACACCATGCGCTGTGGACGATAACGGTTGCTGACGACTGAATGAACAGCTACGGCGTTCTCCCTATCTACACACGGGATCGCAATTCACAGGCCGCTTCTCAACACCTCCCAATAAAAAGAAAAAGAAAACAAAATAAAAGCTACCAATTATGTAACCATTGTAAACATTTTAATATATTCATTCACTATGCAGGCTCACACCTCAAGTTCTTCACACTGTTCTACTAAGGACTGGGAATAAATCATAGGTATATTAAACTCTTGGCCACAAAAATGTCACCTACGTCGCTGGTCATAAACAGCATCAATATACTCTTGGCCGCAGACCACAGTACAACCGCTCGCTTGACCACCGGCCACACCTGGCGAAATATTTTGATAATCTTAGTTGTAAATATCAGGAAATCAAATACCAGAACACAAGCTAAAGCATACATAAACGCGCGTGCATATACGCACGCACGTGTCCTGGAAATCAGGAAAAAACAAAGTATATTGGACCACTGCACTCGCAGCTGACTCTGCCTTTGGACATCAGGAAATTGCCAGTAAGATGGTAGTAATAGTATACACACACACATTTGTGTGTGTGTGTGTGTGTGTGTGTGTGTGTGTGTGTGTGTGTGTGTGTGTGTGTGTGTGTGTGTGTTTGTAAAATATTATATATACATATGTTATATAATGCATAACATATATATGATATACAAATGCATATATTAATCTATATATTCATATGTATACAAAGGTGAGTGCATGTATAAACGGATATACACTACGTATGGATATGTATTCATGGATATATGTAGAATGGTGCGCCACGTAGTGTGTATGTGTGTGTGTGTGTGTGTGTGTGTGTGTGTGTGTGTGTGTGTGTGTGTGTGTGTGTGTGTGTGAGAGAGAGAGAGAGAGAGAGAGAGAGAGAGAGAGAGAGAGAGAGAGAGAGAGAGAGAGAGAGAGAGAGAGAGAGAGAGAGAGAGAGAGAGCGCGTGTGTAAAAAAAAAAAAATATATATATATATATATATATATATATATATATATATATATATATATATATATATATATATATATATAATGTATATATATCACAAACACACACATTTTCATCTTTCTAACTCTTTTACAGCTGTGCAAAGACAAATACTCTGATCAGAATACATTTCTCCAGCACTTGCAAACTGCGCTTCCTTCCTTTTTAAAGACCTCCGTGTTTAATATTCCAAGACACTGATCCACCGCTTCTCCCTCATCGCCGAGCTATTTGAAAATCTGCACTGACACCTATGTTGAGAAATCTTTCGTACTGTTTTAAATGTGTTCATCTTACCTGCCCTGAGTGCTATCAAACTACTGTCTATTGTGATAAAAAGCAAACGTAGTCAGTTTTTCTACATATTTTTTACCAAAGAGTAATTTCTTTTTCTTTATTTTTTTTTTTATCTCCCCCAGACTGACATGTTTTGTTTCATCGCCAATGGGTTTGATTTCCCGCAGTTGGAGGCACCGCCTGACGAAGGCAAGAAGGCAATCCCATGGGAACTCGTGCCTTCGAGACCAAGCGAGGTCGTTCGGCGCAGCGCTCACCTCTCGTCCTTTCGAATCGTTCGCTGTGCAAGTCACGAGGGAATTGAGGACAGTAAGTAACGGTCATGCTTGTTATACATGTGCACCGGACGCCGAGCATGCACGGCCGTTCCCTGTGGAGTGCAGGCGCGCCGACAGGAGTGAACAGTTATCTCTTTAAACTTACCGGATCGGTTTCGCACTCTGAATACCAGATCCAGATGGACTAAGCCGTTCCCTGCATAGTTCACCGTGCATGGGAATTTTAATCGTCTGCCTTACGGCTAGAAACATGACCCAAAATGCTGAAAGACTTAGTTTCGGGAAGTGACAACGAGAGATTTGCTTCCATACCTGGATATGCAGGCTTCCGTCGGCTCCTGGGAGATGACCAACACAATAATCCACAATCCATCGTTACAAGGTTATGACGTCACCACACAACACGATTGTTTATTCCAGACACGAAACCAAGAGTGGCTGCGCCTCCAGAGCTTCTCATTGAAGTCACTCACTGTTATTTACCGCATCACTAACATTATCACACCTTTGGCTAATATGCTTTTATGTGAAAGCATAATGCTGATAGTGAGAAGTATTAAATAAATTTTTAAATATTCTATGGACCAGTCATCTGCGCTGAGAGAATGGCATCACACACGTACCACCCACTTCCTGATCGCAAACTGACCTCCGCCGCACTCAGTGCAGGGAACCGCGCTGCCGCCTCCACCCACGTTGTCGTACAGGATTATAATCACCACTGTACCGATTTCTATACTTTTAACGTGTATTTAGAAATCTTTCATTAAAGCTTTGAATACTGTTTAAATATGAAGTTCTATTTATTTACTATAAGTATGATAGTAAGGTAAGACGGTGCTCATCTTACGCCTGGCAGTGGACCTTCGCCCATTGAACTGTTCTGCACCTGCGAATTTTGGAGTTGCCGTAACTCTTTGTCGTACAGCTGCACCTCTCGCCTTCTCGCTAATTAGCAAATAATTGCTTAAAACAAACATACAGAACAATTACTACAAACAAACGCTTATGCACTTCTCCTAATATCGGCACAATGTGACGTAGGAACAAATACACATATACACACACACACACACAAGAAACCCCGACTTCAGCTTCAGGCACTATTTTGTCAGCATAGGGCTCTGCCGCTTCAGCGTAAAACTTCACCAGGACAGACGCCTGGAAGTATAAACACTGAGGCAGACAAATTCGGGGAGGAGGGAGGGGGGGGAGCACGATTGAACTAATAAACAAAAGACTCACACATACACACGGGAGTTTGAAATCGGTATATGACAATCTTATTTCTAGTGCTCTAAGTTATTATGTAAATACGCCGAGTGGTTCATCCTAATTGGGCGGGTTGAGGGATACGCATCCCCGAGACGTGACGAGGCTGGCCTGGGCGAAGCATTAGGCACACCATAAAGTCCCACCAAGCCCATCAGAGAGCGGCAATAAAAGCATTTTGTCGCCGCCATAAATAAATATCCGAGGAGGATCATCCGTCAGTAAGTCCCGCTAAGTGTGTGACTCCCTGACCCGGTGCGTTTTTATGGCCGCACTCTTCATGCTGCTGCTGAGGAAGCCTCCATCGCCTGGCAACACTGCCTGTCGGGCCCTGCATCGCCCGACTACACTACCTGCGGGAAATGCATCAAGAAGCAAAACAAATAAAGCTGATCTGGACTTTCGACATCCAGGCAGCGCTGTCGATGGCGAAATCAGCGCCGCGGCCCGACAGCCAAGGTCCCCGCGGTGCGTCCGTCCGTCCGTCCGTCCGTTTGTCCGCTAAGTCGCGCTGAATCCTCGGTCGAGTTAAATCAGGGCTCGACATCAAGGCGCCTCGCGAGAGACAGGTGCTTTTCACTCTGACAGCTCTGAATCAGACAGCGTAGTGGAGAGCATCGGCAAACAGTCGTGGAGGCGCGCAGGCCAGACGGCACGTAGTAAATATCGGGTCATTTATTTGTTTGCTTACTGTTATTCCGGCCCGGAGTTGGTCAGCCGCTCTTCGGCCTATCCAAGCCGCAGCGCACGGAGAGGCTTCGACACACGTGGCAGGGAAGGCCTCCAGTCAAGGCCAATCGGGAACATGGCTTCTCGGCTTCGAATCAGGTGCTAATGGCGGCAGTAATCTTCTTAAACTACAAACTCGAGCTTTTGGTCTTAATAAATGGTCAGAGATTTCGTCGGTGTCAGTCATTAACACCCTCACCCCACCGACCCCTCTGAACCACACGATTGCCTCGGCTCAAGAAAAAAGAGGAACTTTCGCCATGCACTGAGTACCTCGGGAGCACCTAAGTGGGGGCAGTAGTTCACAATTAAGCCTCATCCTCCATCAGCTGAGCGCCTGGAGGTGAAAATATGCGAAACATCAATATCAACATTAACAACACCACCACCAACAACAACACTAACAACGGCAACAACAACAACTACAAACACTCTACTGTGATTTTCCAGACGTGAAACTCAGGGTGCGTCTGTGCATTCAGTTTTTTTCTTCAAAACACGAGACAATGGAAACAAAGATGCGGTTATTTGGCATACTCGCCGTTCCTATTTGTACCAGTATCAGCGAATTAACTATTTGATTAATGAATCACCGGGGAAAAAAATGTCTGTCAGCGTCTCTAAATCTCGAAAACTTTCTTGGATGTTTACAAGAAAACGCGAAGAAACGGGCCCACAGGTGCGTCCGCTAAGTTATAATTACTCTGATGGCTGCTAATTACCTGAAAGCCTGACAGAAGCTGATCACGGGAATTTTGCCTCATTATTGAATGATTATACGAACTCGGGAACAATTACATAGTGTTCGCTTGGCCATTAACCTCGTTTGGCGAACAACGGTCAACGGTGTTTTACGTGTCCCGGCCGAGCAGTCTGCGCTTGTTTTCCTTTCAGAGCAATTTCGTTTCTTCGCTTCGGTAATTGTACTGCTGTTCCTCCCGTTGTTAGCGGGGGTGTTATTACCAATATGTTGTATGTATATTACATACATGCATGCTTACATACACACACACACACACACACACACACACACACACACACACATATATATATGTATGCAGACAGACATGCATACACACACACACACACACACACACACACACACACACACACACACACACACACACACACACACACACACACACACACACACACACACACGCATATATATATATATATATATATATATATATATATATATATATATATATATATATATATATAGTTACATCAAGTGCGCTTGTACGAATGTGCGTACACGAGAAAGAGAGAAAGAGAGAAAGAGAGATGGAGTGATGGAGTGAGTGAGTGAGTGAGTGAGTGTGTGTGAGAGAGAGAGAGAGAGAGAGAGAGAGAGAGAGAGAGAGAGAGAGAGAGAGAGAGAGAGAGAGAGAGAGAGAGAGAGAGAGAGAGGAAGACAGTGATAGATGAGAGGAGACAAGAGCGAGATAAACAAAAACAAATAAGCATAAAAGCAAACAGGCCAGGGAGTCTGAACAGGCGAGAAGGAGAGGGCGCATTGCTAAACAAACAGGCCCTGTGAGACGGACGGGGAATGGGGGGTTAAGGAGGGGGGTGGGTTAGGGGTGATGGGGGGTCAGGGCCAAGGCGAGGAGGAAGGGCAGCAGAAGTCAGGTGGACGACAGTGCTGATTATCGCCATCACAACAGGTGGGAAGCCGAGGTTTGGCGTGGGAGGGAGGGAGGGAGGGAGAGGGGGCAGGGAGGGAGGGAGGGAGAGGAGGCAGGGTGAGAGAGAGGGAGGGAGGGAGAGAGGGAGGGAGAGAGGGAGGGAGAGAGGGAGGGAGGGAGAGAGGGAGGGAGAGAGGGAGGGAGAGAGGGAGGGAGGGAGAGAGGGAGGGAGGGAGAGAGGGAGGGAGAGAGGGAGGGAGGGAGAGGGGGCAGGGTGGGAGAGAGGGAGGGAGGAAGGAGGGAGGGAGAGGGGGCAGGGTGGGAGGGAGGGAGGGAGGGAGAGGGGGCAGGGTGAGAGAGAGGGAGGGAGGGAAGGAGGAAGGAGGGAGGGAGGAAGGTGGGAGGGAGAGGGGGCAGGGTGGGAGAGAGGGAGGGAGGAAGGATGGAGGGAGAGGGGGCAGGGTGGGAGAGAGGGAGGGAGGGAGGAAGGGTAGGACAGAGAGATAGACAGAGGGGGCAAATAAGGATTGGTGGTGAGGTTAAAAGCGATGTAAAGCTTCAAACTGAAGGCTAATGGGACAAGCTTGAGGCTTCCTCTTGAGCCGAGCCGAAAGCTGGTATAAAAGGAGACAATAGAAAAAAAAGAGAAAGAAAAAGAGAGGAAAAAAAAATAGATGCTTGGTTTTATCACAGACACATCTTTCCTTTTCTTCCAACGAGAACTCAACATACTCAATAAAAAAATAAAATAAAAGACAGTTAACGTTTTTCAGTCACGAAGTCTACTGTCAACAGGAAAATCGTGTTCCTGGTTCGACGAAGGAATTCCGGACAGTGTTACCAGCCAGACAAGAAATCCTCGCGCGATTTCCCACCGGCTTTCGAGTAACAACACAATCTCCATCCTTATTCCCAGATCAGAGAAGCGCCATCGTCCGTACGTACGTGTTCCCAGATCGGCAAGAAAGATTAGTGGACTTCCGGGTCGGTTCTTGCACGAGACGACTGATCGCAAGAAACACTGTTCCCATGACAGACCTAGTGCATGACGCGGACAGACCTGGTGCATGGCGCAGACTGACCCACTGACGAGTCTTCCCGCATCTGTTCGGTTACTGCAAGACGCCTTCCTTTATCCTTGCCCTTATTTGCAGAGGGAAGGAGGGAGGGAGGGAGAAGGAGAGAGGGAGGAAGAGAGAAGGAGAGAGGGAGGAAGAGAGAAGGAGAGAGGGGGAAGGGAGGAAGAGAGGAAGAGAGAAGAGAGAAGAGAGGGAGAGGAAGAGAGGAAGAGAGAGAGAGAGAGAGAGAGAGAGAGAGAGAGAGAGAGAGAGAGAGAGAGGGAGGGAGGAAGAGGGAAGTGAGGGAGAAAGAAAGAGAGAGAGAGAGAGAGAGAGAGAGAGAGAGAGAGAGAGAGAGAGAGAGAGGAGAGAGAGAGAGAGAGAGGAGAGAGAGAGAGAGAGAGAGAGAGAGAGAGAGAAGAGAGAGAGAGAGAAAGAGAGGGAGAGAGAAAGAGAGGGAGAGAGAAAGAGAGGGAGAGAGAAAGAGAAAGAGAGAGAGAGAAAAAAAAAACAAAGAAAGGAGAGAAAAGAAAGAGAGAGACGTGTATACCCATTATATACTTAGTATGGTCTGGATAAAGTAAAAGTACTTAAAGTAGTTTAGACGAAGTAAAATTCTTACTACGAAAAGCGCAAAGCCAAAGAATGTGACGAGATGATCCACCAACACAAAAGGAAAAACCGGCTTCTCTGAACAGCCTAAAAATACGTGGATACTGTAGGAAGAGAAAGGGAAACAAACAGCATGAAACGAGGGAGACGACCGCCGAAAGTGTTTATTTAGAATTAGACAGAAATCATAAATAGGGAGAGACGGAGCATGAGGAGGGGAGACCTACGAACTCCTGGGGAGATACTGGCCAGTCACGCTGACATCAGACACGCAGATGCGGGCATGGGCTGCGCTTGGTGCCACACACACACATACGGGGGGAGGGGAGGGAGGGATAGAGTGGAAGAGGGGGGGG